ATATATATTTAGCACTAGCGAGCCCAGAGGAATTCATTTAATTATAGATGAAATAAACAAAATAAATTGCTGGACCATATGCATGCAGTTGGCGTGAAAGCGTGATGAGTGTGGCTAATAAAACTGTATAATGTGGGTGAAGAAGCTGCAGCACAAGTGGTTTATCTTTGCTGTAGCACCTGGCAGAAAGAGCGGGCTGTAAAAGAGAGGGTTGCGTGTCAGAAATTAATATTTCATTCGGTTGCTTGATAGTGTAGCATATTCTATACGAAAAGGTGTTACTGTTGAAAGAGTCAGGACAGATGAGTTTCTAATCAGGAGCACAATCAGAGGGTCAATTATGAAGAGTTCGTTTTCCAAGAGTTTGGAATAAATAAGTAAAGCAAAGCAAAGTCATTCCAAGTCTGGCATATTTCTTGTCTTAGCTCTTCCTTTCCTGTATCGTTGATGGTGTGTTTTGACGCCTCAGTATCGAATGAAGGCCAAAAAGCAAAATAGGTCTCAGGCTTTTTCCAGTGGGTTCTCCAGTTAGGCGTAGCCACCCTTAATAATTTGTGATGCACACCGAGTCACTTTGTTCTGGAGGCAGGTCTGAAATATGACAGAAACCACTCAGTTCAGAAAAGACAAACAAGAGTTACACCTAGCAGGTGTCCAATGTGGAAAGAGTGAAGGCAGACGTTAACGTAGCACACAACTGAACTAATTATTTATTGGTACGGTTACTTATTCACAACACAATAAAAAAAACAAAAACCTTTGAACTTTTTTTATAAGGACAGGAGGGAAACTGTCACACTGTGATATGTACATGTAGATTTAGGCCCATGAGGAGACGCCTAAATTCTTAAAAACTCAGCACAATCTCTCTAAAAATAAACAAGATAAAATACATAAGATAATAAAAAAGATCTAAACAATTTAACTTCCTTAAACTGAATCATATTTTATATCAATCTCAGCTCTGTCCCATCTGGTGTATCCAAATCGTGTTTAAGCCCACATAACAGAGCTATAAAAACATGACAATAGTAGTTAATTAACAGTAGTTAATAGTTTGAGTCATGCTGAACAATGATGGAATTTATTTAAGCATAATGTGTAAGAAAATAAGTGGGTGGAGTTTATGTAAAGGTGGTTATTTAATTTCTTTAGTCAGAGTCACTGGCTATTTCCATAAAGGTCATTTAGAGCACACACAGGTGTACACAATGAAAATGGATTCAGCAGCCTGGTTCAGCAGCCTGGTTCAGCAGCCTGGTTCAGCATTGTTCATTAGTGAGCTTGGCCTGCACAGGACCACTGGTAGCACAAGAATAGGATAAAATCCATTCATGAAATATTTTGTTTGAGGATTGCTTGCATTTCAATCATTTTATTATGATTTACACAAACCCTTTTTAACATATTTATGTTTATTCAGAGCAAATTTAGGTTTTAATGCAATCTATAAAACTCAAAGGTTGAACCCATGTTAAATGTGTTGGTACTAACATGTCTGCTGCTGTGACATCTTCAATCAATGAGCTTCAAAGGACAACAAGCTAATATGTCTGTACTTTTAGTTGCTATAAATACAAGTGGACCTGCTCTGAATTTAATCCTAATTTCACAAAAAGCATTCACACATTTAAGTTCTCGAGCATTTACTGGGAACCATGTAAAGGAAAAGGTAAATAGTATAATAGTAACTGAGTAATAACTGAGTCAAAGGCCATCACATGCTTGACTCAGTTATTACCACTAGGTGGTGCATTTTATTTAATCTTGCACCAAACACTGACTCATTAGCTGCATTTTGACTTACAGAAATATACCAATGTGCTGTACTCTTAATTTTCTCTTAAATGCACACTAACTTACCTACCTATATTAGGTTTACATTGCAGTTTGGGTATCCAATGCTCCATACAGTAAGTAAGGTTAATGTATTAATGTCATAGTCCCGGGTCTGTGACCCAGTGTTTTGAGTTTAGTGGGTTTCCTAGTTTTGTTTGCTTATGAATCCTACGGTTGTGTAATGTGTATATTGTTTCTTGTAGTTCTCCCCTTGGTTTATTTAGTCTTCTTCTGTTATACATTGTGTTAGAATAATTCCTCCCTCATTGTTCCCCATCCTCTTGTGTCTTGTTTCCTGTGTTAGTCATTGATGCCTCCCTGTGAAGTCAGTTTTGTCTCGTTGCTAAGCTGTCTGTTTCGCTGTCATCACTCAGTGTCTCTTCCCAGTCTCCTCTTGTCCTCTGCCAGATCGTTAGTTCTCCCCCAATGTGTCTCATCCATGTTCCACGTTCTCAGCTTCAGGTTTCATGTTTCACATCCTTAGTGTTTAGTTTCTTCCCAGTTTAGTGGTAGTGAAAGTCTTTGCCTTTTGTTTTGTGTTTTGTTTGATTTTGTGCAGCCTTAAAATGTGGTTTGCTTTGGCTAAATTTAGTCCTACTGTCCGCTTTTGGGTCCTTACTTCAAATACATGATGTGCGCCTGCAGATGACAATTAATCCCACATTGATTGGATTTTTACTATTGCCCTTCACATATTAAAAATCCCCTATACAAAAAATAGTGTTCGCTATTGTTAACTAAAGCACTCTGTTGTGTACACATTGATGCATGAACAGGTCTAAACACTTAAACTGTTTTTACCTTACTCTGGGAAAGCTTCTTCAAATTCATCTTCAGTCCCTATTCAAGACGGGTTACTTTTGCTCGTACATCACAGCCACTTTGTGCTCCAATTTCCAGTTGTTCATATTGTAGTTATCATGCATGTGCACTTTTTTATATAGACGAGAAGAGAGAACTACATTTCCAACAAGGGAAAGTATCGTTCTACAGCTAAAAATGACAAATCTACTGTCGACCTAATGTTGTACATTTTTAGATACATGTGAAGTGGTCTCTTTTACAAACTGAGCCTGTGTGCGTGTGGGAGGGGTCAGCAAACCACACAGACCCTAATCCACGCAACAGGGCTAAAAGCATAAATTTGTCGAACCCTTCTAAATTGCATAACCTATTCAAATTGCATCGGATTACCATTATCATCCTAGCCTGGTGGGACCCAGCGTGTATTTGCCGAAGGCAATGGAGTCCAACTCGCTTTCCACGCCATCCACTGTCTCCCTGCCAAAACACTGTAGTGCTTCCACTAATAAGATCTGCACAAAAGAGGCACATGCAGCAGCTGACGGTGGAGACACAAGGAAAAGCCTTTTATATCTCGCTGCTGTCACGTTTCAGGAGACATACAGAAAGATGAAGGCTTCCTCCGCTCATTAAACCGCATTCAAAAACAGGCATTTTCAGAATACTGCAATCCGTAGAAGGCATCAAATCACACACAGTGTAGTATTAGACATTTTACAGGGAGCATGATATAACAATATCCAAGTTCATTCAAACCTCAGGGACATTTCGCCATTTTCCTTTTTCCTCACTCTGCTCTTTAAAACCTTCTCCTGATCACATTGCTTGCATTACAAAATGGTTGTGTTTAAATTATTCAGGGTGTCTTTAATCGTTATCAATCATTATTTAAACATACAAAATCCAAGATGATTTCTTTCAGTTTGGTTCGAATTTATTTTTATCGTTCACAAGGTCAGCCCAGCAATGTATAGACTTCCAAGGAACCTTGAGAGGA